GTCAGGAACCCCCCTGGACAGAGCCCCCAGAGACACTGGCTGTGATCTCTGTCCATGGAAAAGAGTTTTCAATCTTACAGCATGAATTACAAGCTCTGAATGTTTGATATGAGTAATAATCTAGTGTGGTACGGGTGCAAAAGTAAAATTTTAGGATTCTAGATTAGGGGTTCAAAGGGGACAAGATGGAGGAAATTGGATGTGCCTTGTCCTTTTTCCCCTTCTTCATGCCCTCCATGTTTCACTGTGGTGTTGGCATTTTTCTGTTGATTCAGGCTGGGGACACACTGTCCAACGTAGGTGACAGATATTGGCACGTTCTTGTAAATCCAGCCCAGGGAGTTTCTGGTATTTAATGTTTGTAACATCCCACTGAGGGCAGAGCCCCACACGCTGCCCTGCAGGACAGAGCTGGGCAGGGCAGCAGAACATGTGAGAGATAAACAGAATAAACAACCTGGAAACCAGCACAGACCAATTATGGCTTCTGCTTTGGCAGGGGGCTGACAGACAGAGACTTTCTACAATCTCAGAATCATCAATACCACAGATTCCAACACCAAAATTGCTGCAGAATTATCTGTACCCACCATGTCACTGGCCTTTAGGCAACGCTTCATTTCAGAAACACTTTTCAAAGCGTGTCCCTATGCACTAATTCCTGCACGATACCTAGTCATGTACCTCATCAGATATTTATTCATGCACTTTTCTCCACTCTGATGCTTTTTAGATTGCTGTTTTGGGTGGCCTAAGAGCCAGTTACTCAGTCTGACTAAAGCATATCGCCTTCGCACCTCGGGAGGCAGGAAGCTGGACAAGGACAGCTCCATCTTTCGCCCAGCTCTGGTAAGGAGACGCTGTCCTTCAGCTCCACTTTCCTCCACATCCCTGTTCAGGCCTCTAGTGGCTGCAAAGGGAACGGATCAGGGCTTTTTAAGGCCGTTTTGCCCTTGTTAAGTCAATGAAACTCACTACACACAGCAAGCTGGGTTTGGTCAGTGTATTTACTGCCCTCTCACTATGTATTGCTTCATTTTGGAAGTCATGTGCACCGTCCTCTTACAGCCCATAGCACCACAGCTAAAGACCAGCTAAACAAACCACGTGGACAGCCATACTAGGATAAGAAATACATTTTAATCAAAGAAATATGAGATCAGGTAAGTGAACAAATTCCTGACATGACTACCTCACAGAACTATTTTCCAAGTCAGGGTTTATGGGTAACAAGTTGCCTGCTAGACCCTCTGAGACTGGCTGCAGCTGCAAAAAATAAAAACGCTCAGCTTGAGGCCAATGGGAAGATGCTGCCTGCAGCATAAATTGCTCAGTGTTGTTGCACATTGGCTGGCGAAGGTTAGGGACTGCTGCTCTGTGTAATCGAGCAGGTTTGCAACAACAGTGGAAGGCTGTTGTGTAATAACAGTTCAAGCAAAACAGGTAGAAATAAACACACTTTTTTTTTTTTATCTTTAGGTAGAGGCGATAAATTTTTACTGAGCACACCATGTTTTAAAATCAGTCCCAAACAGATGCCAGGTATTCTTTTTGCCTGAGGCTGATGAAAAAAAAAAAAAAAAAGAAGCAGGTAGCTTCTGAAAGAAATCTGAAAAGCTGTTATCCAACTGGCGAAGGTTAAAGTCTCCATATGCATTTCAAGTAGTTTCATATCCAAAGTGAGCACTGATATAAGCAGATGGCTTTGGAATCATGACCTGATATACAAAATACATAACTGATCCTTTAGTAAATTAAAATTACAGAAAATCACAGGTGTCTGTCCTAAAATTACTGCTTATATGAACAAAGCAATTAAATCTGCCTATATGAACCAAACAATTAAATTTGCCTACTTTTAAAGAAACCCTATCAAACATTGCATGAATCACTCCAATTTGAATATTTTAAAGTAGTGAAAAGCCAGAATGTCTGCAAATAGCTTTGGATACAAGCAAAGTGAATGATGGAAAATTCCTTATTCATTTATTGTGACAGCACATCTTTTTCCTCCATTGAGTATTTTTTTATTTAGTTTTACTTGTTTTCTCCAGGCCTCCACCATATCCAAGGATTTGTCAGGAAGTTGCACTCTGAGTGTTACTTCAGGCTACTAAATTACAGAAAAGAGTATCATTAGACTGCCCTATGCTAAATGGACTGATTTATTTCAGAGAATAATGAAGCAATGAAAACTGTGCTGCGATGACTGGCTGATCTAACAGCAAGGCTTCCCAGTACTGCAAACGTTTATCAACTTCTGTTTTAACTCAGTAAATTTCTCCCCATACCGAGCAACCTCAACTTGATGATGCAAAAATAAATCTAATAAGCTCCTACTCTAAACTGCAATTTGCCCTTCCCTTGTATCCAGAGACAAATCTTCAGTCTTCTCGTGCAGCTAGAGCGAAGCTTCCTGATGCGAAAGCTTCCTTAAGTCAAAGTTTTTAAGTAAGAGCGCTATGCCACGATGTGGAAGCCATAACCCTGACAAACACACAGAAACCGACCCCGTGTACATCCTGTCCGACCTGCAGCCCGCACATCTGCTAGGGGAATGCGAGGAACGCTCCTTTCAGCTTGTGACCCACGGAACCGGGGAGTCGCGTGTGCCGCGTTCGGCAAAGCCGGGCCGGGATGCGCCTGGCCGCTTGGCCGCGGGGGAGCGGCGGGGCAGCCCCGGGCGCTGCGGCGGCGGCGGGGCCGGGGCGGCTCCGGCCGCTCCGGGCGGCAGCGCCCGCGCGAAGTTGCGCGCCCGCGCCCCGCGCTGCCGCACCCGCCGCGGGCTCGCCGAGCGCTGCGGGCTCGCATCTCCCCCAGCGCCGGCCGCTAAAACACCGAGCCCCGACCGCCGTCCTCCCCCAGCCGGGCCGGGCGAAGCCGTCCGGCCCCGCGGCCCCGGAGCATCCCCCCGCCGCGCCGGCAGGCCTCTCTCTCCCCGCGGCAGCCCGGGGATGCTCGGGGCAGCTCGCCCTCCTCCCGCGGCCGGGGCCGGAGGCAGGCGGCCGGTGCCCGCGCCCCCGAGGGCGGCGGCCGTACCTGAGTCGCTGAGGCGGGGCCGGGCTCTGTCCCGCAGGTAGTAGATGAAATCGCGGCAGTTCTCGTTCTCCACCGCCCCGACGGAGCACAGCTCGGCCAGCAGCTGCAGCGCTTTCTGGCAGATCTCGTCCTCCCTGTCGCCGGGCATCGCCCCGCAGCATCCTCGGGAGCGGAGCGGAGCCCTGCGGTCAGGCGCCGCGCCGCTGCCCGCCGCCCGCCTGCGGCCGCCGCGCCGCCGCCCGCATCCTCCTCAGCCGGCGGCGCCCGCCCCGCCGGGCCGAGCCGGGCCGGGCCGGGCCGGGCCGGGCCGGGCCGCCCGCCGCTCCCCGCGGTGCCGCACGGGGTCCCACCAGTTGAACGTGAGGGCGGGCAGCGCCGGCGCCGCGGCCGCCCCGCCGCGCTGGCGCAGCGCTGCCGGCGGGGGAGCGGGCGGCGGCCGCCGCGCCCCTCTCCGCCCCGGGGGCAGGAGCCGCGCACGCCGCTCGGGGAAACTTCGGAGGCGGCGCTGAGGCTGAAGGAGCGCGGGGCCGGGCGCGGTCCTGACGGGCAGCGCCCCGTCCCCCGCCTCCCCACGGCGGGCAGGGCAGGGCAGGGCAGGCCCGGCCCTCCCGCGGCTCGTCCCGGGCCGGGCGCCCTTGTGCCGCGGCGCCCGCCTGCCCCGAGCCCGCCCGGCTGGCCGCGAACGCCTCGCCGCCCGGAGGGGAACGCGTGCGAGATGCAGCCCGGGCGGAACGGCGACCTTCGCTCAGCGGATTCGCATTGCCGGGTTAAAAAGAGTTAAAGCGCGGCTGAGAAAGCTCGGGCACCTGAGAGCCAGGCATAGCCGGAGGGGAGGGCAGGAGAGCCTTCGCCGAGGGGGTGGCGGCTGAGGAGATGTCTGCCATTAGGCATGTTTATCCTGACAAGTGAGGGATTCGTAAGGTGCTGCTTCGCTTTCTGGGTTTGTAGGCTGGGAGGCTGGTGGGTGAAAAGCTGAGAACTGGCTGCTCCATTTAACTTCATTTTTTTTTTCTCTCTCTCTTCCTTTTATAATACTTTAGGCAAATATCAAAGGCCACGGTAAGCTCAGGAAGTTCAGACTGGTGTGGATGTTCAGCCTCCTGTTTAAAGACTGCTGATAACGGTTCTAGAAATAGCATCATCTTTTAGTAGAAGCTTTTTTCTTCATAAAGAGAAAAGTATATCATTGAAATTAGATGCATTTTGGGAGAGGATATTAATAAGAAAAGTTGTTTAACAATATAACTTGCCTCCTAGTGCTTTGGCAACATTGCTTATGTCTGAAAGGCATTCTCCCCTCCACCCCCTCTTTTTAATACAAAAATGATATCTGTAAAACATGATTGTATAAGCCAGGCATAATTCCACCAGTAATCAGACGACTCGCTCAGGCTGGGTTGTCATTGTTAAAAATTAATAATAGATAACAAAAGAGTATGTAGCTGTTACAGTTGTTACCATTGTAATCATATTTTTGAGGGCCAGAGGTTTTGATGACATCAGTGTATGTTTTCATATCTAACCATGTGAAACTCCCTGCTAGTCTCAATAAATGCCGCACAAATGCTCATCTTGGTGCTGGAAAAACCAGTCCTTTGTTTGTTTCTCCAAGCATACAGGGAGAAAGACAACTCGTAAGAGGTACTGTCAGTCACAGCTCTTCCTCTGAAACTAAGGATCAGGCATCAGCAGTCCTGCTGCTTAACATACTGCAGTGAAGAAGGGGCATATTTTAAAGAGCTTCGTAGACCCAGAGGTACCAGAATGTCTTTTTAGGGAAAAACAGGTTCGAGCGGGCTATCAAGTTATTCATATGTATGTAACCTCTCTAGAGGCAGAAACTTTCTAATTTGTAACACAAAATCAAGACCAGGCCAATGCTGGTTATATGTCCAAGAGGAGGGAGGATAGTGGAGCTATCAAAGACCACTGACATAGATATCTGTAAATACAAAGCCCAGTGATCATGTGTGACCAGATTTTGAATTACTGTATACAATTTGCCTATAACTTTTATATTATTTTACATATTACTTGGCTATAATTTGGTTGTTTGGCACTGACCAAGATGGATGTGGTGTTCTATAGCATGACCTCTTTCCAGGACAGACAAATACATCGACTGCAAAGTGATATAAATGCCAGGCTGTGGTTTTTATCCTGTGGGATCACAAGCCCATTTCTAGCTTGGGATTCAGGCTTGCTGCAGAGTGAGCTGTGGACAGCCTGCTGATGAAGCAGTAATTTGTTCATCCTTCTCCTGTAACAAAAATCGTGGTTCATTTTTTTGAATAGCAGCAATTTGAAGGTGCTGAGATGTTTGTAATACAGGTGCTTGGAGATGGAAATTTTTCAGTCTGGTGGAGGCAAGAAACTATTTGGACATCACTGCTTGTAAACAAAGGCATCTATTCTCCAAAGCTCTGAGCTCTAAGTGCACTGTGAGAGCAAATGCCCATGTCTCTGGAGATAACAGCAGTAAATGTAATCAACTGTGTCTCAAAGCAAGTGCAACATTTCCTTCTTGGTCTTACCTATGAGAACTGGGTTATATCTGCCATTTTGTTATCATTGATTGCATGTTTGTCTTCTTGCAGGCACTCCTAGTTTACTCCTGTGTCAGCAGCAGATTTCCCCAATTGAGGGGACCATGTTATGTTTGAGATCCCTAATGAATGCTGCACTAATTATCTTTGGTCCTAGAAGGTCATTGAATGATGCAGTGGGATGTTCTTATTAACCTTACCCTGAGAGTTACAATCTGTACTGACCACAGTAAATCTGTTTGGGTTTTTTTTTCTGTTTAGCTCAAGCTTCCCTCACACAATACAGTGTACTCAGAAGTCAGGAAAAAAAATCCCCAAGCCTGCTACACACAGAGTCAGAATAAGTTTAACTGTTTGACCTACAACAGTTCTGTCATCATGAATTGACACGTTCGTCTTTCTTTTCTTGAAATAAAGCTTTTCCCCAGTGTTCTGGCAGCAGCACAAGGATTGCTGGCAATGAAGTCACCTTCAAAGCTAAAGCATTCATGGAACAAATGCATTTCTGGAAGCAAGTAAGGCAGCTTGCATCAGAATTTTTGTTATGGCTATGCTGCAACCAGAACTTATCCAGTATTTGTGTTGAGTATTTTTAATTGCTTGTCTTATATTTGCCCATTCAAGCAGAGCTCATCATGGGAGTACCTTTTCCTTTAAAATTAAGGGAGGAAGGGAGGTCAGGGGTGTTTCAGGAAAACACATAGAACAACTAAGTCACTAATGGAACACAACAAGCAAGACTTTTTTTTTTTTTCCAAGCAATCAAAGTTTGTGAATGTGTAGTTAAATAGGAAGACAAAATGACTCAAAACAAGAATATTGATGTATTAAAGGAGGCCATTTCAACAAAGGCAGTCACCACCTGTAGTCCAGGGTGGAGAAGGGAAAAGTCATTGTAGGCTCAAGGATCATCTATCAAAAATCTTTCTGTTATTGGCTGTGCCAGATTTTCTGCCTCACTCTCCCTCCTTTATACAGCTACCCTTCTATTCTTCATGGATATATCTTCCTCTGCTGCTGAAAAGTAGAGAATGCCTAGGTAAACATAGAAGAGAATGGAAATCTGAGTAACTACAACTGGGTTTATTTAAGATGATGCTTTTCTGAGCAGTGTCATTTTTGAGATGAGTTAGTTATTCTTCACAGATGGTTTAAGGGAAGGTTTAAAGGGAAGTTAGTTAGAAAACAGGGGTATGCCCCCATTTGGGCTCTCCCACATCATTGACTTTTAGAGGTCATATGGAAACACCTTCTTAACTAAAAGGAAGGTGGTATCATCACTTTGATGATATTGGCATGAAAAAATAGCTCTCCTTGAGTATAATGGAGTCATTCAAAGATTTTGAGATCAGAATTACATACTCTGATGAAAGAAGGGATAGCAGTGTATTTTCATTATGGTTTTTATAAAATCTTAGGGCTTTTTGTTTGAATCCACATGTCATTTATTGATGTCTGCTCAGATTTTTAAAATGCAATGCATAAAACCAGTGTTAAATGCTTTGGATAGTACCAATCTTTGTATTTCCTCTGCAGGAGGCCCATGAGCTGTTCCTGTGTCAGAACGAGTAAAATGTCATTTGGGGGTTTTCTGAATGATGGTAGCAGGCTTTCACCCAGCAGGTCCTGAAGGAAGAGCAAAGTGTCCCTCCTGAGCAGAGGAAAAGTGTGGCAAATGTCTGAGCTGCCATCAAGTGTCACTAGAAGCTGTACCAGTGGATGAGGAATGTACGTCTGCCAGCCAGTGCTGGTACAGCTGAGACTCAGCTGCGTTCCACAGAGTGAGCTGAAGGGCTGTGGGTAATGAGTGAGTTGTCTGAATGGAGGTTATGAGCAATCATAATCAGTGGGATTTTTTTATGGTTCCTTTTTTTTTTTTTTTTTTTTTTTTTTTTTTTTTTTTTTTTTTTTTTTTTTTTTTTTTTTTTTTTTTTTTTTTTTTTTTTTTTTTTTTTTTNTTTTTTTTTTTTTTTTTGTTCAGTTGTTCTTTTCCCCATGCTGCCATTGGACAAAACTTTACTGCCTAAGGAAAAGTTGCAAGCTCAACATGAACACAAGCTCTTTGGTATGATGGACCACTTTCATAACATCTTTATAACAGATTACCATTTTTTTCTTGATCTTTTTACCATTCACACTGTTAACAGAGAGTACTCTGGGTGCTGTAGCATGTCACATGCAATTTTAATCTATCTTAAGAAAGCTTCCTTAAAACTTGAGAAAGAGGGAGGAAAACACATCTCTTCTGATTTACCTTCTAATTTGACAATCTCTTCCTTGACAGCTTTTGCAAACTCTACTGGGAGAACAAAAAGAAGTGTACTGAATAATTCAGCCTTGAGAGTGAATTGAGCTTGAGGAGAATTGTTGAATTCCCAAGTCTGTGGTTTGTGGTTTTTGTTATTGACTGCTCACATGGATTGAAAGTCCTGTCTCTGAAGTCAGTGGTTTTTATCTCCCCTTCAGATTCTGCAATTTTATCTGGCTTTTTCTCCCTGATCACCAGCTCTCTGTTATTGCTAATAAACACACAAGAAGCATTGAAGGACCTTCGTGATTCCAAAGAGAGCCATAGATAGACTGCTATGCTAATAAATCAGAATTTAACATTGGACCTGAATGTGGAAGATAGTCCAATGAAATTATGAGGCACTCTTCCTACTATCCTCCCCTCACATGCTGGAATATCCAAGTTTGATATCAGAAAAGAACCTCCTGAAAATGGGGTGTCTTAACTGACCCTGAAATTTGTTGTTTATATTAACATGCTGATGGGAGCCAGACAATAACAATAGGAGCTGGTCCTGCATTTTATACACTGGCAGCCAGTAAGTAAAAAAAACCAGGTTAATATAATTTGAGAATTTGTAAATGCATAAAATACATATTTTATGCATTTATATTTATAAAATATAGAGCAAGGTGGAATGATGATCTGTTACTGAAAGTAGCTTGCCCAGAAAAATGTTATAATTGTAAGAGTCTAGCCAGTATTCAGGACTCTATAAAACCTGAACCATGCTCATTTCTTAAAGCCACTGAATAAAGTAAATGTTATTACCTCTAAAGCATTTTTTTCTCTAGTTCAAAAAGCAGAATTATCTGCAGAAAAAGAATATATAGTCTGAAAATTGTAATCACACTGTCTAATACAACTTTTATTTAACTCTTATTGACAAGGTCACTGAGTGGTATAGTTCCTATAAGTAAATATCTGAGCTCACTCACTATGTGGACTGCAGGAAGGCTCTGCTAATGTATTTCCACTCAGATGCTTGCAGCTACAAATTAACATTTCCTAGCCAAAGGAAAGAAATAAAAATGTTTGGTGGTTTTATGATGAATTTGTAAAAGAATGCTAAGGAAGTGACTTTCAGTGAGGTCCCTTATCCTTGAACTTAAAAAGATTACAGAACCTTAACCTAAAAAAGGAGAAAAACCCAAACCAAACCAAAGCCCAAATCAAATTCTTAATACCCAATGAAAAAAACCCTCATTTTTGATTCATGTTAAATTCATGCTTTGTAACTTACTGGTATCACCAGTGTTTCTGTAGTCATTGACTTCTTTGAAAGATAGCAAAATCTAGAAAACTTTTAAAATTAAATGACATGTCAGATGGGATCTGCTTGCAAGTGAACCAAATCCACAAGTCTCCTTGTGGAAGGATGAAAATTTTTATTCCTTAGTTCTGATTAACATCTAATCACATAAACTGGAGTCCATCCAGAAGGCAGTTCTTGGTTTAAAATAGTCAGTTTACTGCATCAAGGATATGCTTTCTGCAAGGTATTCCTGAGGTGGGAAATGTAGAAATGGTGTTCTGGGCTAAAAATCCCTTTTGCCACAAGCAGGAATTCAAATCAGAGTTGTAGCACATGCATGCACACTGTTTCAAGTGCCAGAACACTTCTGGTTCTAGTTAAGGGGAACAGCCCATGTCCCTAAAGGCAGGTGGGTGTGAATCAGGGCTGCCCCTGCAGTGCTCCTCGAGTGCTGGTTTGAGCATCCTGAGGCAGAATCCTTCCCTCAAATCTCTGGCTAAGGATGAAAAACTTACCTTGAAACTGCCCGGATTTGTAACAGCTGACTTGGGCACAGCCTTGTTTCTGGGCAAAGGAATGATAGGAATAACAAATCCCTCTTACCCAGGTGAAGGAGGAGAAGAAGGAATCCCAAAGCAATAATAACAAATCCCTCTTACCCAGGTGAAGGAGGAGAGGGGGGAATCCCAGAGGAGCAATAACAAATCCCTCTTACCCAGGTGAAGGAGGAGAGGAAGGAATCCCAGAGGAACAATAACAGATCCCTCTTACCCAGGTGAAGGAGGAGAGGAAGGATTCCCAGAGGAACAGGGTGCTTTGCCCCCACTCTAACTCGTGGTACCTCGGTGAAATGTGTGCCAGGATCCTGTTCCTGTGCAGCCACAGGGCCCAGTGCTGGGCATCAATCTGGGCACAGGATGGGGGAGAGTTTTATGGGATCTTGGGCATCTCCCTTCTGTCCTACTGCAGATGAAACACTGGGGGAATAAATGAGCTGTGCTGCAGTGTGAGATACTTTTGAGGGAGAACCAGGTAAGCTGTTTCTTTGGCAGAGGCATAATTTAAACTTGTGACTGAGCCCCTTGTGTAAATGAGTTTTTTTCAACACAATATAAACACTTCCATCAGCAGAATCGTGTTTTTTTAGAAATGTATCTCTTTGTGATACTGAGGCAAAAGACACTGCAATTTGATTTATTTGTTGTAATAATTATAACCTATACCTTAGAACAGCTTTTTCTTCCACCCTGTGATCATCTCCCCAAACAGCTAGGAGCTATTTTTCCTTCTCTGAGGATGTTCTGATGAAGCTGATGCTGTGTGGTAGGTCCTGGCCACCTGCTTTACTTGGTCATGTGAATGTTTTCCTGAGTCATACTCCCAAAATACATTGTTGCCTAAATCTAGGGGAAACTGACAATCGGTAGCAGCTCAACTTCCATATTACAGCAGAATTCATGTTAAAAATAAATTCTCGCAAATGATTACTTTCTGGAATACAGGAGCTGCTTGCTAAGAAACTAGGTAAGCACCTAGTTCACTGTGTGGGGTTTCTTTTGCCATTAATTACTCCATGAACTAAAGTCCATGCCAAACACTACATAGGAAATTGAGATTCATGTTCCATACTTTTCTGGTTAAATATTGAAGCTGTCACAGAAATGTTCTCCAGCCTCTGTCAGCTGCTGTTAGCTTTCAGAGCCCTGTTCATTCTTCTTTGGGCACTGAGATTTTCAGCTCTTTTCCACACAGGAGCATCTCTGCAGCCAGAAGAGTTAAGGTTTCATTAGCAAAGCAGAGGTCACAGGCCATCTATAAGTTGTTCTGTGAGCCAGAACCTGTGGGAAAAAAATATTTTTCTGTGATGAAATGACTCCTGGCCTCATCTTTTCCAATGTGATCTATGTGAGGTTTTACTGTGATCTATGCTGTTTTACTGAAATCCTGCAGTTTTGGCTACTATGGCTCTGGATTTTAACCCTCCTGAGGCAGTGCCTGCCTTTGGGAGCGGATTCTAGACAGTATTCTGTGAGAATCCAGGGCTTCCCTCTGGCTGCCCTGGAAGGCCTGGGACCCTGGCAGGGGTCAGGAACCCCCCTGGACAGAGCCCCCAGAGACACTGGCTGTGATTTCTGGCCATGGAAAAGAGTTTTCAATCTTACAGGATCAATTACA